GGCTGGCCTCCGCCCTCGTTCAAGTTTGTGGGTGGGCCCTTGGAAGGAGACCTCATTTTCCCGCAGGAGGAAAGTTGCCCGTGGTGCCCAGGCCAGCCCACCGAGGACGGGAACCCCCCTGGGCCCCGAAACTGCTTCCTGATCCGGGTGGGCTTGGAGGTGCCCACCCATCCCAGAGGCTGGGGCCTGGAGCCCCGCTGGGTCTTGGTCCCTCGATTGGGGGTGGTGGGGTGGACAGAGTGGGGGCATGGGCCTGTGCTCGGGGTCCAGAGGGCCTCTCCCTTCCCTCCTGGGGCCCTGCCTGGCTCCAGGCCACCCCTCACTGCTCCGAGCCCCTGGTCCTACTGAAAGGCGGGTCCTTGGGTGAGGGCTCGGTTCCCTGCCCTGCCACCCTGCCAGCCAAACCAGCCGCACGTACCATTCACAAACCAGTGCTTTGGGGGCAGAGGAAGGGGCCCTCAGAGACAGACTGTTTTTTGAAAAGTTCTGATTTAATAATAATAGGAGTTGTATAGGGTTATGGTGAAGGCACCGGACACAGAGGCAGGAGGACACTGGTCCCCGCCGCTCCATCCCGCCAGTCCTGCGCAGAGGCCGGCGGCCGCTGGGTCGCTGTGTACGTGTCTGTGCAGATGCACACCACCCTGTGTGCGCACAGATATATTTTTACACACGGGCCCTCGACAGCTGTCTGACTCTGTCAGCCGCAGGCCCTGCTCAGGCCTGGTGGGGGTAGGGGGATAACCCGAGGTCTTTGAGTCCAGCCCTCTGCCTCCAGGCCACGCCCACTCAAGTGTCACCAGAGCCCCTGTGCCCCACGTGCTGGGGCTCAGCTCTGTCCTCGGCGGGATCTTCTGGGCACTGCCCATGGGCCTGCTGAGCAATTGGCACTTTCTTGGGCAAAGGGTATCTTCCCTGTCATGATGCCAGACACAGTGCAGTGAGTGGGATCTAACCATCCTTCTCAACTTAGCCTCAGACAATCAGTGCAGAGCTACCTGCTCTGGGTGCCCAGCCTCTGTCTCAGGAGCCAGTGAGGTGGGCTGCTGGAGAGGGTCCACCCAACGGTAGGAAGACCCATATCAGGATCCATTCCAGAGGTCCTTGGGGGCCTCTGTCCAGCCTGGGGGTCCCAGAGAGGAGTCTCTCAGGGCCTGCCCCCTGGAGTGTGTGTCTGGAGGGGTAGCAGAGGACTGGGATGCCCAGAATGAGTGATGTGGGAACTGGGTTTTGAGGGATGCCTAGGAGTTTTTCCAGCAGGAGAGTGGTGGGGAGGGCCTTGAAAGATGAATGGCGAAATTGTCTGCTCAGGAGAGGGCTGCTGGTGGGCCACCGTGAGGCAGGCGTCAGTTCTCTGTTTGTACAGCCCCCCCCCCATTTGTTGCCTCCTGAACACTGTAATTATGGGTCTGTAACCACCCTGGACTGGGTGCTCCTTACAGACAGGACCCGTCTGAACCTCTCTTTGTCCCCAGCGCCCAGGGCTGAACCTGGCAAAACCAGAGGTGCCTAGTCCCCGGTGGCCGGATGAATGAACGAGATTCAGGCTGGTGGGGGCGCTGTGGTTTCGGAGGGGCCTGGGGTTTCTGGGGGAGGGTTCACATCACCCTGGAGGGCTCCCATTGCGCCACCCACCCGCACTTCTGGCCCTGCCTTCTTCATGTTTGAATTTCTCCCCTTTCTTAGTCTGGGGCAGGGAGGAGGGGCCCTGTGCCCTGCCCTGGGGACCTTAGCCTGTGGGTGGGAACACCATGGATAGGGCGAACTGGCATCCTCACCAGGAGCCGTAGCAGTCAGGGGCTTCCTGGAGGAGGTGGCGTTTGCTGGGTTGTCAGGTTAGGGAGGCTGGGATACACTGGGAGGGCCTTTTGGGAATGGGAGTGATTTGTACAAAAGCCGGGGGAAGTGGGGTATGGGTAGGTGAGGGGCAGAGGGAACTTTGAGGGCCTAAGGCCCAGGAGGGCAGGGAGACCCAGGCCCAGGGAGTAGTGCCAGTAACTCGAACTTTCCATCAGGTGCCTCCCGTGGCAGGGAAAAAAGTGAGGGACAGAGACTGAGGGGCAGCTGTCGCTCAGGGCTACGTGGGGCCAGGCCACACGGGAAGGTGGACCCAGGCCTCGACCCCAGGTGGGACGGACCTCCTGGGCTCACCGCCGGGTCAGAGGAGGGGCCCCAAGCTGGACACAGCCTTATACGTCCCTTTGCTGCCCCCAGAGGCTGTGGGCACTGCTGGGCTTGGGGAGACCCTACCAAGAGAGGAGCGTGAGCGCCACCCGGCACCATGAATGACGTGGCCATCGTGAAGGAGGGCTGGTTGCACAAACGAGGTGAGTGCCCAAGGGCTGGGCCTGGGGTGGGGTCTGGAGCTGGCCTGTGGGCTTCCCTTCAGGTGGTGGGGTGCTTTGGTGGCCTGGGTGTCTGGGAGCCCAAGACTGCTGGATGGGAGGGGCCTCCCTGGGGCCCCTGAGCTGGCCCAGGTGAACATCTGGGCACAATGTCTCCCATGGTGTTCAAGGCACAGCCTGGCTCGACCCCCTGAGTTGGGGGATGTGAGGCCTGGAGTGCAGCTGGCAATGGAGTGGCCGGCTGCCTGGCTGGGCCCTGTTGGCGGGGACAGCCACTGCCACCTCCCTCCCCACTTTCCTGGAAGGCAGTGAGGACGTTGGGGCCTGTCCAAGGCCTGGCTTATTGGTGGCCCGGGGCACTGCCTGAGGGCTCCTGAGGGCAGGGCAGGGCTGCTTAGCCTGGCCCAGTGCCTGCCTTGGGCCTGGGCTGTGGGCCTGGGCTGGGCCTGGGCTGTGGAAGAACTCACACACTGAGGGGCCTGGGCACGGGGCATGTTTGGGCTGCAGCCTGGTGCCCGCCCAGCCTTCCCTCTCCTCACTCACTTGGCCCTGTGCCTAGGGAGGTACTCGGACAGGAGTTGCTGGGATGGGAGCTGAGGCATGGCCCCTCACCTTCTAGCCCTGACCACAGTCCCCTGCCCTCTGTTGCTCAGAGACAGGCAGTGGGGGGATGACAGGCCTTCCATCCAGGTGCCCTGGGCGAGGCACTCTCTCCTGCCCCAGGACAGGGATTGGCTCACCAAGCCCTCTCACTTCCTTACCTTCCAAACCTGAGAGGTGTAGCAAAAATGTGTCGTGGACCTGGGTTTTGTGGGATGCATAGGAGCTCCCCAGTAGTGTAGGGAGGCCGCAGCAGCTGGGGTGGGAGGCAGAAAAGTGATGGGAATGAGATATTGGGGCTGCATAGCTTGAAGCTGGGCATCGGGGACGTGGTCAGCTGTGTGTTTCGAGAGCTTGCTTGGGCAGCTGTCGGGACGACAGGACGCTGGGCCTTGAGACAGAGGCGAGGAGGCTGCTGGGGCCTGTAGTCTGTGCGGAGCCCTCTGCCTGGCCTCCCCAAGGCCTCTGGCACCCGCCTGCCTCCTCAGTCCCCTTCCCCAAGGTTTACCCTCTCCTTGTTCCCCGGGAGTCCCGCTTCCTGTGGCTGGAGCCCCCTCCCCCAACCCCCATCAGGCCCTGCTCTGTCCGCCTCACCTCCCAGCCCTCCCGGGGTTGGGGACCCCCACCCCACACCCAGGCTCTGCTCCTCCCCTATGCCTGGTGGCAGCACAGAAACACTCCTACCTGGAACCGGTACCTCTTGACCTTGGCAAGTGCTTGTTGACTGAATGTTAGATTAGGAGCTGCCCCAGGAGATGCCTGGGCCCAGGGGCTGCCAGGGCCACTGCTGCCGTCACCTGGGCACCCTCCGGCCAGCCGGACGTGGCAGGCCTGCCCCTGCGGAACCTGGGGGAATTCAGCTTGCCAGACAGGGTGTGTGCCTTCTGAAGGGCTGGGGGCCGGGCGTCAGGCCCAGAGGGGCATCCCGATTCCAGTGCCTTGTTGTGTGTCCCTCCCCAAGGGCAGGTCTGTTGGGCTCCTCAGGCCTTGGTTTTCCCATCTGTATAATGGGAGCGATGGCCCGGAGGCCCGGAGTAGAGAGTGTGGTTTGTGGGGGTCTAACTTGGGGTGCAGCCAGGCCTCTGGCCTCCAGGTCAGGAGAGGGTGCTATGTCCCTGCCACTTGCGTCCCTCTTCCCTGTGGGGTGGTGGGTGGTGGGGATGGGAGGGGACCTGCCTTGTGCAGATGGGTGTCCCACCTGCCCTGCCCCTGCTCACTGAAGAAGGCCCGTCCTCGAGGGCGCCCTTCATTGCCCCACTCCCCATTCCTGGGGACCCCTGGGACCTCTGGGACTTGTTCAGTGGTCCCCCTAGCTCTGCCATTGTCACATTCTCTGCCGTCTTCTCAGTTCTGCTGGTTTGTTTCCCGCAAATGTTTTGTGTGCTAGACTTGGGGCGACCGGTGAGCGAGTAGAGGTGACAGGGCGGGGGAGGGAAATGGGTGGTTTTCAGTGAGTTGTTGGGGGAATCGGGGCTGGAGGTATGTGGTGCCGTTAGATGGGGGAGGAATCGGGTTCCTTTGGGGTAGGGGAGGGTCAGGGCTGCCTCCCGGCTTTGGACGGAGGCAGTAGGGAGGACCCGCAGGTCTAAGCTCCGCTCAGCAGACAGGCTGTGATGGCCTGGTGGTGGGGCACATGGGCCAGCGGAGCCCGGGCAGCCCTGCCACCTTTCCTTGTCTCCCCCAGCCGTTCCGGAAGGGCCCGCTTCCCTGCCACCCCCTCTGAGAAGCCTCCCAGAGCCGCCCTGGGCCAGGTCTTCCTCCTCCATCTCCTGGCTGACCCCTCAGCCCTGCCCACCCCCTTGGGAAGGGGCTGGAGGGGGAAGCGGAGGCCTCCTGGGGGTAGCTCTGGGTGGAGTGGGGGACCTCTGGGCTGGGAGGGGTCCTAGGTCTGGCCTGGGGGTGGGCAGGGCGCCCCACCTGCAACGCAGGGACAGAGTCTCTGTCCCTGTCCCCTGCTCCTGGTGCCCAGGCCTGGCCAGGGACCGGGGTTGGGGAGCTGACGGTCCTCCAGGGCCCAGCCCCTGCCCCTTGCAGAACCCGGAGGCCTCGGTCCACGCCCCTCCTCCTCCTCGTCCCGGTAGGTGAAATTGCTGCTGTGGACGAGGGTCTGTACCTGTCCTTTCTGCGTCCAGCCCAGCGCCTCGCATGTGGCAAGCGACTGCCTCCAGACCCAGGGACTCGTGGAGGGGTGGGTGGCCCATCCTGTGCAGGGCAGGCCCCAGGCCCAGGCTCATCTCACCCCTTGGGGAGGTGGGTGGTGGGTGCCCATCTCTGGGGAATGACCCTGGGCCATGTCCCAGGGGTCCTGACCCCATACCATGTGCCTTAGTCCAGAGCAGCTGTGGGGGGCAGAGCCTGAGCTCTCGGCCTGCACTGACCTGTGGGGCCCGGGCGAGCCCTCCCGGCCTCAGTGTCCTGTGTGTTTGGCAGGGAGCTGGTCCCAGGAGAGTGAACTCAAGCCGCTGAAGGCTCAGGCTGCTGTGGGGCAGGCGGGCAGATGTTGCTTGTGGGGAATGGACATCCTGAGCCCTGAGTGGGTGTCCCCAGTGATGGGCAGACGTCCTGAGTGACGGTGACCCCTGAGTGATGGTGGATACCCTGAGCTGTCGGTGCTGGGGGCTGCTGGACTGATGTTGCTCAAAAATTTGCATTTTCAAAGCTAAAAATTTCTCATTTTCAAAGATTTGGTCTTCTTTGTGCCCTTTCCTGACTTTCGAAGGTTGACAGTTTAAAAACCAGCCCTCCCTAAGGATGTAGTCCAGTTAAACTTGGCCTGTGGCCTCCGGTTTTGTCTTTAGACAGTGTGGTCTGTGCTAAGGCCACGGCCTGAGTCTGGGCAGCCATTTGGGGGCATGCCCCCGAGCCTGCCCGCCCCTGCCCACTTTCCCTTATGCCCACTGGGTCCCACTCTCAGAGCCCATGGTGTATCCCCAACCCAGGAACAGGTGGGCCAGGAAAGGGCAGGTAGGCTGTGAGATGCAAGGACACAGGGTGAAAGAAGTGTCCTTGGGCTGGAGAGAACAGGCCTGGGGAGGGAGTGGGGTGTGGGCCTTGGGCACCTGGGCTCATGCAGGCTGGCTGCTGGCGCCAGCGACCCAGCAGAGGAGCGGGCCTGGCTGTCCTTGCCAGGCCATGGTCTGGCAAGCTAGGGTTGAGAGGTGGCGTCAAGGAGAGCCCATCCTGGGTGTGGGCTCCCCTGCCCCTGGGCCCCTGCCTAGAAGTGGTCACCTGTGTGTTCTGCTGGGCTTCTGTGCTGTGTGTGTCTGGGCTTTAGTTTACCTTCACCCCCAGGAGCTGCGCCAGGCAGGGGGCCTGTGTTCACGGAGCTCAGTGGGCACCATCCCTGGCAAGTCCTAGGCCTTGCTGAACCCATTCCTGGCACAGACCACCCCCCCCCTCCCCCAGCTCCTGGCCAGAGAGGGGAGCCCTTGCCACCTGCCATGTTGGTCGTAGGCGTCCTGGGGGAAGTGGGTTCCTGGGGCCCCTCCCACCTCCCCTCCCTCAGGTGTGGCCAGGTCCTGCTTCTCACCATGGTGTGGGCACTCCCTGTGCCTCTCGTGTGGCCCTGAGATGGGCAGATAGTGGTTCCACATTGCTGACATGACCCCTGCTCCATCCCCAGTCCTGGGGTCCCTGAGGGGGTGGGGTGTGGAATGTGCAGCCTGGCACCCCTTTGGAGGAGGCAGCGGTTTGCTGAGGACACAAAAACCAAGGGACAAGGCCTGTGGTGGCCTGTTTAACCCACTTCTGAGCGCAGACCGCCGTGGAGGCCCCTGAGGGGCTGATTGTAGATGTCACATGGGTGCTGCCCCTGCCCTGGGAGGGCTCAGCAGGGGGCGAGGGGGGAGCCTGCTGTCAGGTCTCATCCAGGTCACACCCCTGCAGCTGAGGCTCCAGTCCCGACAGTCCCCTGGGCTCACTGGGCAACCGTGTGGTGCCCACGTCCACAGGATCCAGAACTGCCCCCGGAGCAGGTCTGTGCTGGGCGGTCAGGCATCTGTACTGGGCATCTGCTTGGAGGACGATGCCTGGGAGGGCGGGGTCTGTCCCTGGAGGCAGGCTCCTGGGCCTGCCGGCCGTGGCACGTGGCCGTGGCTGCGTGTGGCTGTGGCCGTGGCCGTGGCCAGGCTGGCCTGTGTGGAGCTGTTTCCTGTTTTGTGAGTGTGTTGAGTTCTCCCTTCAAAACAAACAACAAAAGAGGAAGCTTGAGTCTCTTGCATGGGGCGGGAGGTGAGAGGACATTGCCCGCCCCAGCCCTGGTTCCTGGGCTCCTGCCTGGTGGCCCTTAGTGGGCTATGCTCCTGTGTCTTTCCTGGGTGCTGGGTGCTCTCTGGGCACAGCTGCCCTGCGTGGGGCCAGACTCAATGGGGGTAACAGGAGGGAGGGCCTAGGCCCCTGGTCAGCTTCTGCCGACACCCCCTCCACCTTGGGCAGCAGAGCAAGTGTTGTGCAGAAGGGAAACTGAGGCCTAGATGTGAAGGGGCTGGACTGTGGCATGTGGTCCTGGCCCCGTGCCCCAACCCTCCTCCGCCACCACCAGGAGCCCGGCTGGGTTGCATCAGGCTGGTTCCTAGAAGTGCCGTGAGGGCGAGGGCAGGGAGCTGGCCCGGTCCCGCTGGTGGGACTCTGCCCAGGCACACCCAGCCAGGCGCGGGGCCAGCACCCTCCCCAAGAGCCTGCCTGTAACTGGAGCCACTGGCTGTCTCCGTGCCCACTCCCAGGGCCACCCCACAGTGGGCACAGGCTGCTGCTTCCACTCATGCGCTGTGGCCACCCTGGCCCTGCCCCGCGGCCCCGCCAGAAGACCCCCAGCCCAGACCCGGCCCGGACAGGTTGGCAGAGGGTGCTGGGGCTGCAGGCTGGGATGGGCTAGCTCCCGGGAGCGCATCCCCCCTCCCACCTCAGAGGGAACTCTTGGATGTAAGAAATAACAGACTAGAGCTCAGACACCGGGGGTGGATGCGGGGCTTTGAGCTGGCCTGGGACGGCAGCCCGTCACTCATCTCCCCGGTGGTCCCACCTGCCCGGTGCCTCGGCTGGTAGCCCTGTCAGCAGTGAGGGTCTCTGAGGCACTGAGGATGCCTTTGGTGGGGTCCTGGGGCAGAGACCCCTATTGGGGAGTCCTCGGCTGGCGAGGGGCTAGGGCACATGGGCAGGCTGGGGGTGAAGGGCGAGGCGGGGGTGGGTGTGGCCAGGGACGTGCGGTGACAGGGCTGGGAGCTGGGGGGGACATAGCCTGCCGCCGTGTCACAGAAAGAGAAGGGCTGAGAGTGTTTCCCACTGCAGGTGGGGCCCCGAGTCGGGGCAGAAATAAATCAGCAGTGGCTGCGAGATGGAGGCCCTGTCGGAGATCAGGTCCCTCTTGGCCGGACCCCCACGCTCCACCCCCTTCATGGAGGGGTGCTTTTTCCTGGGGGTTTTGAGGATTAAGGCCCACACCTGAGACAGTGCTGGGGCCACTCAGATGCAGGGGTGTGGTTCCACCTCCTGGGAGGGTTTGTAGAGAGGAGATGTGGGTGTGGCCAGCACCTGTGGGGATCACGACAGCCAGAGCCCTGGGAGGAGCCTGCTGGGCACCCTGCTGTCCTTTCCCAGGGCCGCGTCCACAGGGAGGGCTCAGCGCCCCACCTGCACTCTCGTTCTGCGGTTTGTTCCCTCCGGCCCGGCTCCCTCTCCGGTCTTCTTGCCTGCTTGGGAGGCCAGGCACCTTCCTTGGTTTGGTTGGGTCCTGGGAGGGCGGGAGGGATCGGGGCCCGGGCACGTCGGTGAGCATCTTTCCTCTGCTGGGCCGGGAGAAGACGCCTCCCTGTCCTCCCTTGCCCTTGATGGCCGTTTGGGCCCTGCCCGTGAGGACCCTGTGAGGACCTCATGAGTGGTGCCCTTGGGAGGCTCAGTCCTGAGGGTTCGCATGACAGCCAGGGTAGGTGTGGTCCCTGCCTCGCCCGGCCCAGCTCTGGGGCAGTCTGTGGTCCCGTGCCCTTCTGGTGAGACAGGGACACAGGGACCCTGCCCGGGCACAGGCAGAGGGGCCCCTTGAGGTGACCCCGCCCGGCGGGCGGCGATGGATGGGCCGCTGTCAGCAGGGCCGTTTGCTCGCTGTGCTGGGGAAGGTAAATGGGTACCCGGCAGCTGTCGGCGCGATGGATGTGTCGGCGGCGGGGGACCGTGCGGTCGCCGCTGTCAGCTGGCGGCGCTCCCCGGGCCTGCTGGGGCTCGCTTGGCTGTGGAGAAACAGCTCGGCACCGCCTGGCGCCCTGCCAGCGCCTGCCACCGCCACCAGCAATGCGGCAAAGTGTTTATCCAGCAGTTTCCCCGAGAACTGGGGACTTGCAGAGAACGCTCATGGAGCGCAGGGCACGGCGGCTGGGTGGCCGTGGCCCAGGTGCCGTCTGCCTTGTGCCAGGAGCCCGCACTGCGAGCTGCCCCCCAGGCTGCCCAGGGCACACAGTCCCGGCTCGGCCCCGGACCCAGGCCCCCAAGTCCTGACTCTGTGGCCGGTGGGTGATGTTGGTTGTGGCAGGTCAGGGCTGCTGGCAGAGTCCCCTCCTTCAGGAGTCCTGCAGCCCTGTGGGATAGAGCAGGCTCTCGATGGTGGAAGGGAACCCTGGTGGAGGACAGGTGGGGACACTGAGAGGGCCCAGAGCTGAGGGGCCCTGGGCAGCAGGAGGAGGGGGGCAGCCCTGGTCCGGACCCAGGCTGGCTAAGCCAAATGCCCCCAACTGCCCAGGGCAACTCCTCCAGGGACCCGGAGCCCTTGCGGCAGGTGGGCTGGCCTGGGGATTCAGGACCAGGGGGCATGGTCCCCTCCCTGGTGGCTGGGCAGGACGAGGTCTTGGCGGGGGGCTGTGTTGCCCCTCCCGAGCCCAAGGCTGGGCTTCTAAGAGAACCCCAAAGGGAGACTGAGCTGCTGCCCCATTCTGCCTGCCTGCTGCCCAGCTGGCAGCCCCAGCCCCTCCCAGCCCCTGCCCCCGCTCAGTCCCAGATCGGCCATGGCTCCAGTCTCCTGGCGGTGGGCATTGGGTCCTGGCTAGGGAGCTGAGCTGGGGTGACATGGGGCATCTCGACTGGCCCCAGGGCTGTGCCAAGGCCGGGGTGGGCTGCAGGGCCATCTGAAATGTTTGCACGAGCGCTTGCTGCGTCCTGGGCTGAGTGTTGGGTGTGAGCGGCAGGGATGCAGGAGACACGCCCTGGGCCCAGGTGTTGGCCAGTTGCCTCTGCCCACCCGGATGCCTGGAGATCACCCTGGGTGTGTGTGGCCCTGGAGGAGCAGAGGGGACCCCGTTTAGGGAGCGGTGTCCTGAGGGTAGGCTCAGGGTTCCCGTTTGTTACCTGCCCGTCTATGCCCGGAGTGAGGGCTCCAAGTCTCCCACAGCCTGCACTGCGATGTGTGTCTGCCTCCCCACCCCCAGGCCCCAGGACAGGTGCCGGCCCACGGGCGTTCTGTGGCTGAGAGGATGGCGGTGGCTGGGCACAGGGTGCTCACCGCCTCCACTGCCCTGCTCTGTGTCACCTCTGTCCCTGTCCCGGCTGAGCTCACTCAGATGCAGCGCCCAGGCCACAACTGATGCTGCTGATGGCCCAAGTGACTGTCCGCCTGGACCCCTGCAGGCCAGGCATCCGAGACCCTGAGGAAAGAGGTCCGTGTGTCTCGGAGCCTTGGTCCTGGCCCCTCTAGGTGCCCCCCGGCCTTCCTGCTTCTCCTGGAGGGGCCTGTGCTGGGCGAAAGGTGAGGGCCTAGCCAGGTGGCCTTGCCTTCCCTCGCCTGGGTGTTGCCTGGCTTCTGGGTGGGGGCGGTGTGGTCAGCCTTGGCTCCCCTTGAATGCCTGGGGGCTGGCGGAGGGCCCACCCCCTGGGACCCCGCCCCCTGGCTCAGTGGCTCTGCGGGGGAGGGTGCCCTCCCCTCAGCCTCTTCCGCGTGTGTTGCTCCCTTAGGCCCCCCGCCTCTGGGTTCCAGAACCTTCCCAGCCCTGGGGCTGGTTTGAGAGCAGGTGCAGGGTCACGTGGTTGGGGTACCTGGCAGCTCTGGCACACCTGCTCCAGGGGATCCCACAGAGGGGAAACTGAGGCCCTGTCTGGTCGCAGGTCCTGGCAGGCGTGGGTGGCACGTGCTGTGTGTGCGCGCGTGGCGCTGGAGGCTGGGCTGGGCGCGGTGGGGGCCGGCACAGTTGGTGCATCAAGATGGATTTTCGGGGCGCTCATCACTCTCCCCGCTCAGTTAGCGTCCCGGGGAGCGGCAGCTGGCGGGATGGGAGGCACTCCATCAGGGGCCGACAGCTCCAGACTGGCGCGCAGGCGGGTGGGAGCGAGCAGCGGGCGGCCGCCCGGCATGGGCGGCACACACGCCCCCCGAGCCCGCTCCGCTGGCTGCCCACCCAAGGCTCTGGTGGGGAGAGGGGACCTGGGAGGCTGGTGGCACCTTGTGGGCCGGGGTGTGGGGTGGACCACAGCCCCGTCCCCAGTCCCCGGGGCTCACAGGGCCAAACTGGCTGGAGACCCTGCTAAATGCTGTTGGGGTGAGGCAGGTGACCAGCCCGTGGTGTCTGGGCTTGGTGGTCACCCCCACTGGAGCCAGGACACAGATGCGGGTGGGCCCCTAGGGAAGGGCCCCGGAGTGGCTGGGTCCCCCATCTCCCCAGCATCTCCCAGCATCTCCCCAGCATCTCCCCAGCAGTCCAGGGCCATGAGAGTGAAGGGCCGTGGAGGCCACACCCAGAGGCACTTGATGGGAAGGTCCGGGTGGGGGGCTGGGGGA